ACACCCATCCACACCCTCTAACCCCAATCCTCCCTTCATCCCACACTTTCTTCCACCAGTAAGACTGACTTGCAACGAAATGGTTTCAGGCATGAATCTAAACACCACTCACACACTGTGGTTCTTTCAGTTACTTAAATCAAGGCAGACGCACTCCATTCAGAGAAGCCTTCCCTTTGGCTCAATCAATCTCTCTTCAAATCAGTAATGAAGTTGAACTTGCTCTTCACGGTGAATTTCAGGTTTAAGAAACTACTGTGGAAGCTCTTTATTTCGTCCTCAGGAGTATCCTGCTCGGCTCAGATTCTGACAGAGGGAGACTGAATTGCTGACGACAAAGACACACCTAATTCATTTAAAGCCCCCAGGAGGGATGTAGTGAAGATCATTCAGTAAGAATGCTGCTCACGTTCTTAGAGAACACGCACACACAGACATCCGGATGCAGAGACACGTACATACACAGAGTCCCCTTAGCTGTGCTCTCACCTTATATACATATGTAACTGTTTCGCAGTCCGTTTTGCTCCACGGTAATTAGTTATAAATAAAAGCTCCTCATGTAAACTATTGAGTTAGAATTTTTTTTAAGAATTACGTATTTAATTTTATTCATCACTATTATCTTTTTTAATTTAACCAGAGACAGAGAGCGCACACAAGGGAAAGCAAGAAAGCAAGTCGCCAGGTTTGGGATTCAAACTGTGGTTACTCATGTGAGGGTCCAGCACCCTAACCACCACACCACCTGCCAGCCCCAAGGTAGAATTTTTTTTTTGACAAAACTAGAGAAAAGTTTAAAGTTTTTTGTTTGTCTTAAGGTTTTTTGGTTGTTATTAATTGCCAGGGGGCATGTGTGTTCACCTGTGAGGAGGAGAGGGAGAAAGCACCCCCCCAACGTGGCGTAGTAACCCTACAATCCTTTCTCCTCCATTTTTCCAGCCTACCGGGATTTTGGCCATGGCACACAGACAGGTATCTGGTGCGTTTTTCAGGTTGCCGGGGACAGGATTTGAACTGCAGTTGGTCATGTGAAATCTGACTCTCTTCACCACTAGGCTACAGGGCCAGCCCTGTTGTGTTTTTCATTTTCATTTTTTTAAATAATTATTTATTTAATTTTATCCATCATTGTTATTTTAATTTGACCCAAGAAAGACAGAGTTGGGGAGTGGAGAGAGAAAGAAAGCAAGCTGTCAGGACCAGGACCCCAACCATGGTCGGCGATGTGGGAGTTCAGCACCGTAAACACCACCCCACCTGCCCATCCTCAGACCTGTTTTAAAGAAAAAGTAAAGTCTACTTGATGCCACCCCGTATTCAGTATTCCTTTCTTCTCTTTTTAACATCTTTTTTAAATAACTGTTTTATTTAAATTTATTTATCATTATTATTATATTTTAATTCGAATGAAGAGAGAGACAAAGAGTGAGCAAACAAGCCACCAGGTCCAGGACTTGAACCATGGTCAGCCATATGGGAGTCTAGCGCCTCAATCACCACACCACCTACCGGCCCCAGTATCCCTTTCTTTTAGTAATAGAATATCAGCTTTAACTAAGGAGCTGGGGCTTTTCAACTACATTTCCCAGCCTCCTTTGCAACTATGCCTGCCCATTTAACAGAACTCTGGCCAATGAGATGTCAGGAGTCAGCAGGTTTGGTTCCCAAGAGCTCCCCAGAAGAGGGGGTGGTGTGGTGTGCAGGAGTGCAGGTGTGGGTGGTTTCCCTTCTCCACCCCCACCTCCCTGCCCTGCTCCCTGAAAGAGAGGGAAAAGCCCTAAACATCCGCACCGTCCCAATGCCGGAAGCCATCCACATCTGGATTTCACATTGAAGGGGAAAATATCTTATCTAAGCTGCTGGTATTTGGGTTTTCCATTATGGGCAGGTCAACTAGATCCTGTTCAAAGCTACTTTGAATGACTAGAGAAAAAAATCACACATTTTCCCCAATGGTTCACTCACAAAAAGTCACAGGAAGGTGCTAATTAAAGAGCAGCTTGAATCATATTTGAGTCGGAGATCCCAAAATTCTTAATGTGCTATTTTACCACTTTCTGTCTTTAGCCCAAACGCGATCCAACATGAAATGCATCGACTGGTTGTAAAAACAGCACGGGGAAGGTCTGAGCTGCCGCAAATCCTAAACCTCCATTTGTATTTCCAGACTGGCCCAGAGCAAGAGGCTCCTTTCAGGAGTGGGAGGCCCTCAATGTCCTCCTCTATCTGTATGACTCAACCTGCGTGTAGCCCTACAGACATTCTGGATTTTTCGGTAATCTCCTTTTCTTAATAAATTCAAGAGAGCTCCACAAATCGACAACGGCTGAGTAACTGGGGATGTCACATTGGCCGACAGCTCGAAGGAGTATCTGAATGACCGCCTCCATTCCCCACTTGTCCCTGAATGAGTGTAGGCCTGACCCGTGGGCACGGCCGAACTCCTCACGGTCAAGCGGGGAGTTCGATGCTCGCTGTGACACCGTGTGCCGTATCTGTTTTCTCTCTCGCAGATTACGCACATACCATCCAGCAGGAGTCAAGCTGTCCCAGAGCCCGAATCTTCACCCCAAAGGTCCCCATAGGAACGCGGTGAGGAGCTGCCTTGGCCACACTCTCATCTCTTAGTGAATACGTGACGATGTTTTCAGCCCAGTTCTTTTCTCCTGCCTCGTGTCCCCTAGAGACCCCTGTGCCTTCATTTAAAAGCCATGTGTGCCTTATCTCTTCCAACGCAGTTGCTTATACCAGAAAGCAGGCCGGAAAACATTTCCCCCGGCTGCACTGCTTCTCATCCTTTCTTTCTGACATCCCCAGATAACTTGTTGGCATAATGTCTTCTATTCAGTACAACTCCAAGGAGTGTTTGGGGACTGAATGATGTCACCTAGGAATTTATAATTAGAACCAAAAAAAAAAAAAAAAGCCTCTTTCCAAATCTGTAACACCAGGAGACAATTAAAGAAAACTCTAAAGTTGTTGGTAAAACTCCAAATGAAAGAGCCTCTCCCGACAAGCCAGAAATGCTATCAGCCCTCAGGACGCACCAGGAAACACGGACAAGTCGCAAATAACCTTTTCGACTGCTGATCCTGGTGCCATACACAAAGGCTGACACGTAAAACCCAAGGCTAGCCCTGGACACTTTCTAAGAAACACCCCAGGTGAAGCTGTATTTCTCAAAATTACTGCAACTCTCCAAGAAGCGGTCTGATTATCTTTTCTTTTTTTGGAGGTTTTTTGAGCACATGCGCTTGCCAGAAAGACAGAGAGAGAGACACAGAGACAGAAAGCGAGAAATCACCCTCCAAGAGGGGATGGCCACGCCACAATCCCTTCTCCTCCATTCTCCTCTCGGGATCGTGGGCACACACACACCCCCGGGATGAGTTTAAGCCACCAGGTCCGGGACTCGAACTGCAGTCGACTACATGGGAGTCCAACAACACAGCCATTATGCCAACTGCTGGTCCCTGAAGCGATCTGAATTTTGATCTATGGAGACTGAGCACAGTGACGTTTGATCATGGAGCTTTTATTTTTTCCACACATTTTTAGTGAAAAGGCCCATCCCGGCACACCTGCATCCGGACCTTAGCTGCCGTGGTCAAGGTTCTGTTCTGATCGCAGTGGACTCCTCTGCGGTCCATCCAGCTCGTGAGCCACTAAGCACATGCGACTGTGCCGGTGTAAATTTCCATCAGCAGGGCTGGCCACGTGGCCTGGTGGTTGAGGGAACTAGATCCCACATGGCCAGCTGCGTTCTAATCCTGATCCCGGTGGCCTGACAAACATGCTGAGCATCCACACACCTGCCCCCAATCCCGGCAGGATGGAGAAATGGAGAAGGGATTGTGGCATGATCGCGCCCCACTGAATGCTCGCTCTCTCTCTCTCTCTCTCTCTCTGGCCAGCACATGTGCCTCTAGCAATTAAAAAAAAATTAGATCAACAAAAATGAAATAAAACTGAAATTTGTCTCTTTAACTGCATTAAACACAGGCTGACGAGGCGTTGTGGTTACCACATTGGTCAGGGCAGATAAGAGCATTCTTATCAGGGAAGTTCTCCCTGAGCGGTGCTGGGCCAGCAGTCTAAGATCCTCCCAGATCACACACCCACTCTGCTGTCCTGGCAGAACCATCAATGACTTCTCCTTCCTGTTGGAAATGTCCTAATTCTGCAACAACCACCTCCACCCCAAGCCACAATCTGCCAGGACTTCCCCAAGACCCAAGACCCTTTATCTTAATGAGAAAAATGGCAGGGTTCCCCCACCCACTGCCACCTCCTACCCCCTAATCTCTCCCACCTATGAATCCAACAATTTCAGGAACAAGGAGGGGGAGAAAAAAATCCAGGCGAGGAAGCTGTCAGTTCGGCCAAAGTGATAGTTGACTAGTCAGCGTCTCCGTGTCGTTTCTCATTTCCGCTGGCCTTAAACAGCTCGGACTGACCCTTTGCCCCAGTGCCATCACCCTCTGGCTGCAGCTCTGGCCAGCAGCTTCTACCCGCCCGCCCGCCTTGCCCTGCGCCTCCCGCTCCGGACTCGCTCGGCAGAGGGCGTCCGAGCTTACTACCGGTAAAGAGTATTTACACAATCGCGTGGGATTCTTTCCCTTTCTTCCAGTGATACTTTTTGCGTGCGCAGCAACCCGAGGTGCCAGATAATGCAGGTCACCCCAAGGACGAGCCATGCGACTCGCCGCTGGCCAGAGAGCGGCGCACCAGCCCCGCGCCCGTACGGGAGGCCGGGAGCCTTCAGCAAACGCAGACACCATTTTGCAGAACTCTAAAGAAAAGCAATCCGAACTGGGTTTGAGCAGCAGGCGCAGCCGAAGCCGGCCCGCGAGCTGCAAGGG